GGGCGTGGTGGCTCACGCCTGTAAGCCCAGCACTTTGGGAGGCCGAGGTGAGCAGATGATTTGAGGTCAAGAGTTCGAGACCAGCCTGGCCAATATGGTGAAACCTCCTCTGTACTAAAAATACAGGCACCTGTAATCCCAACTACTCGGGAGGCTGAGGCAGGAGAATCACGTGAACCCGGGAGGTGGAGGTTGCAGGGAGCTGAGATGGCACCACTGCACTCCAGCCTGGACAACAAAGCGAGACTCCATCCCCTGCACCTGCTCCCCAAAAAAGAAGACAGTGTGGAATGGATTTTGGATGGTGAGGATGTCCAAAAAGGAAAGTTCACCCACGGGACGGGTCCAGCAGTTAAGAAGATCTCTTAGATTGAGTGGCCTGAGGGCTAACGTATGTGATAACATAGCCAGGCTATGTGACCAGTTGTTTGGTAAAACACTAGTCTAAATGTTGCTAGAAAGGTATTTTATATTTCTTTATTTTTTTGGTCTTTTTTTTTTTTTTCCTTTTTGTTGAGAACAGGGTCTCACCATATTGCCCAGGCAGGTCTTATACTACTGGGCTCAAGCAATCCTCCCACCTCTGCCTCCCTAAGTGCTGGGATTACAGGTGTGAGCCGCAACACCTGGCTAGAAAGGTATTTTTCAGACCACATCAACAACCACAGTTGACTTTCAGGACAGGAGATAAGCCTAGGTATTGTGAGCGGGTTACACCTGATCAGTTGCAGGTCTAAGGAGTAAACACCGCAGTTTCCTGAAGAAGGAATTCTGCCTCAAGGTTGCAACTTAGAAATTCTGCCTGAATTTCCAGCCTTTAGGCTTTAAGACTGCAGTGCCACCTCTTACCCGAGCCCTGAGCCTCCAGCCTAACTGGCTTGTCCTGTGGACTTCAGACTTGCCAACTCCCATGATTGTGTGAGCTAATTTCTTAAAATAAATGTGTCACACACACTCTCTCTCTGACTCTATACTTCTCTCTGTCTCTCTCTTTTTCTCCGTCTGTCTTTATATCTCTGTGTCCCTGTCTCTCTAGCTTTCCGTGTCTGTCTCTGCTCTGACTCTGTATCTCTGTCTGTCTCTACAGATCTCTTTTTCTTTTTTTTCTTTTTTTTTTTTTTGAGACAGAGTCTCATGCCACTGCGCAGTCTGGAGTGCAGTGGCACAATCTCAGTTCATTGCAACTTCTGCCTACCGGGTTCAAGTGATTCTCCTGCCTCAGCCTCCCGAGTAGCTGGGATTACAGGAGGGTGCCACCACAGTCAGCTAATTTTTTTTTTTTTTTTTTTTTTTTTTTTTTTTTGTATTTTTGATAGAGACGGAGTTTCCCCATATTGGCCAGGCTGGTCTCGAACTCCCGACCTCAGGCGATCCACATGCCTCAGCCCCGGAAGTGCTGGGATTACAGGCGTGAGCCAACACACCCAGCCTATAGATCTCCATCTCTATCTCTGTCTATCTTCTATCGGTTCTGTCTCTCAGGAGACATCTGACCAATACAGGGAGGGCTCCTGTGAGGAGAAGTTTCTTGAGTCAAGACACAGATGACCAGGGGGAGCCGGCTTTGGAGATCTAGGGAAGACAGTCCCCAGCAGCAGGAAGAGGAAGTGCAAAGACCCAGGACGTCTGCCTGGGGCAGAGTGAGCAAAAGCACAAGGGCCCAAGCTCAGAGGCCCCAGTGAAGGTCACTTGGTGTCTTAGCCTAAGGTCAGGGGCAAACTGGCAGCAAACTATATCTATAAAGGGCCAGATAAGTGTTTTCGGCTTTCAGAGCCGAGAGGTAAAATCCAGGATATTACAAAGATACTTACGAAGCAAGACAGGAGCCAGGTGCAGTGGCTCATGCCTGTAATTCTAGCGCTTTGGGAGGCTGATGTGGGCAGATCACCTGAGGTCAGGAGTTCGAGACCAGTCTGGCCAATATATATACCACATATATGTTACAACATATATAATGGCCAACATATAATACAAAAATTAGCCGTGCATGGTGGTGGGTGCCTGTAATCCCAGCTACTCAGGAGGCTGAGGCAGGAAAATTGCTTGAATCCAGGAGACAGAGGTTGCAGTGAGCCAAAATGGCACCACTGCACTCCAGCCTGGGTGACAGAGCGAGACTCTGCCTCAAAACAAACAAACAAAAAAAAAAAAACAAAGAAAGAGGCTGGGCTTAGTGGCTCACACCTGTAATCCTAGCACTGTGGGAGGCCGAGGCGGGCAGATCACGAGGTCAGGAGATCGAGACCATCCTGGCGAACACGGTGAAACCCCGTGTCTACTAAAAATACAAAAAAATTAGCCAAGCATGGTGGTGGGCATCTGTAGTCCCAGCTACTCGGGAGGCTGAGGCAGGAGAATGGCGTGAACCCGGGAGACGGAGCTTGCAGTGAGCCGAGATTACACCACTGCACTCCAGCCTGGGCGACAGAGCGAGACTCTGTCTCAAACAAACAAACAAACAAGACAGGATCCAGGCACAGTGGCTCATGCCTGTAATCCCAGCACTTTGAGAGGCCAAGGTGAGAGGATCACTTGAACCCAGGAGTTCTAGACAAGCCTGGACAACATAGTGAGACCCAGTATCTATTATACGAATTTTTTTTTTTAATTAACCAGGTGCGGTGGTGAGTGGCTGTGGTCCCAGCTACTTGGGAGGCTGAGGTGGATGGCTTGAGTCCAGGAGGTCAAGGCTGCAATGAGCTGTGATTGCATCACTTCACACCAGCCTGGGCAACAGAGCAAGACCCTATCTCAATCAATCAAACAAAGAGGACATTTCCAGCATGGAATGCCCTGTTTGCTTGGGATGGGCCACCTGGGATGGTGGGCAGGCTTTGCTCCCAGCCACTGGAGACATTCTCTGGACAAAGAGTGACCCGTCTAAGGGGGTGTTGCCTGGAGGTCCAGGCAGGTTGGGTTGGCAGGGATGAGGGGTGTCCACCAAAGTCAGTTTCTCTCTCTGCTCCAGGGACCCAGACCCCAGAGAACTTTTCACCAGCAAGTAGGTGGCCACCATCCCACACCGTGCTGGGATTACAGGCGTGAGCCATTGTGCCCAGCCGAGTTACTCATTTTTTAAATGGGTTTGTTATGTGACTTTTCACCCCAACAAAACAAAATCCAAATAAATAAATAAATAAGTGAGCTCACAGTAGATAGAGGGTAGAAAGTGAATTTTAAAGTGGCAACAGATGAAGCAGGACATCTAGGCATCTAATGAGGAAGCTACTGCAACAGTCCAAGCAAGAGACGAGGGTACCTTAGTGTCTCAGTCAGCTCGGGATGCTCTCAAGATACCATAGACTGCATGGCTTAGATGACAAGCGTTTATTTATCATAGTTCTAGAGGCTGGAAGTCCAAGAGCACAGTGAGGTTCTGGTGAGGGCTCTCTTCTTGGTTTACAGACGGCCACCTTCTTGCTGCATCTTCACATGGAGGAGGCAGTGAACATCTCATGTCTCTTCCTATATTGGTACAGATCCCATCATGGAGCTCCACCACCATGACCTGATTACCTCCCAAAGGTCCCATCACCTAACACCATCACACTGGGGATTAGGGCTTCAACATATAAATTGGAGGTTGGGGTGGGGCGGACACAAACATTCAATTCATAGCACCGAGCTAGGGTGGTAGCAGCAGGGGTGGAAACAGGCGGTGGGATTTGAGATCTGGTTTGGAGGTTGAATGAACAGGACTCGCTGCAGGGTAGAATGTGAGGACAAGACAGAGGGAGGGACTCCCAGGTCTTAGGCTCAGCTCACTGGGTGAACAGTGGTTCTAACACCTGACTATGAGTTCCAGTTTTTAAAATCCACACATGAATGCATGCACACTTATACATGGACCTCCCCACACACATGCACACACCCGTGCAAGCGTGCACACACACACATGCACCAATGCACAGGTACATGCATGCACACACCTGCACACAGCACATATATGCACACCCACTTGCACATGTGATGCATGTACACACATACACACACGTGCACATGCATGCAGGTACATGGACCAAATGCCCATGCACACAGATGCACAACACACATGTATGCATGCACCTGCCCACATGAGCACACACATTTATATGCCAGCACATGTATGCATACACAGGCATGCACACGTGCAAGTGTGTACACAATACACACTTGCATGCACACAACTGAATACACACATCCACATGCACACACCACACACATATATGCATGCAGACTCAGGCACACACACAGAGCACACATCCACTCCTTTATTCCACTCTCATATTTTTCACTGCACTTGTCACATCCAAACACAACAGAAGGCCAGGCACAGTGGCTCATGTTTGTAATCCCAGCACTTTGGGAGGCTGAGGTGGGCGGATCGCTTGAGGTCAGGAGTTTGAGACCAGCCTGACCAACACAGTGAAACCCTGTCTCTACTAAAAATCCAAAAAGCAGCCAGGCATGGTGGCACGCGCCTGTAATCCCAGCTACTTGGGAGGCTGAGGCAGGAGAATCACTTGAACCCAGGAGGTGCAGGTTGTTCTAAGCTGAGATCATGCCACTGCACTCCAGCCTGGGCAACAGAGCGAGACTCCATCTCAGAAAACAAAAACAAAAACAAAAACAAACCCACAACATTTTATTTTCTTGTTTATGAGGTTTCTTGTCTCTCTGGCTTCACCAGGAGAAGAGCACCATCGAAGCAGGGAACCTTGTCGCCATTGTTCACTGCCGCATTCCCCACACCTAGAGCAGAGCCTGGCATGGACAGAAAGTCCTCAGGAAATATTTGGTGGCCCCAAGCAAAAGAAGCATCCAGGAAGGGAAAGCTGGGGGCTCCCCACTGCACTTGCCACTTGAGTCACATTTTCAGAAGCCTCTGGAAAGTGTGAGAGTCTGCATGAGTGAGAGTGAGACAGGGCCAAGGCCGGGGGCGGAGGGGACAGGAAGAAGAGGAGGGTGAGTGGGGGAAGGGGTGGGGCTGAACCCCAGCTCTAAAGGCGGCCCTCGGGTGTCTGTCCGCAGCGTGCACAGCCCAGGAGGGTTAAGCAATTTTGGTTTCCTTTGAGGTTGAAGGACCCAGGCGTGCCAGCCCCGCTCCAGGCACCTTGGGCATGGAGGAGAGTGTCGTACGGCCCTCAGTGTTTGTGGTGGATGGACAGACTGACATCCCATTCACGAGGCTGGGACGAAGCCGCCGGAGACAGACGTGCAGTGTGGCCCGGGTGGGTCTGGGTCTCTTGCTGTTGCTGATGGGGGCCGGGCTGGCCATCCAAGGCTGGTTCCTTCTGCAGCTGCACTGGCGTCTGGGAGAGATGGTCACCCGCCTGCCTGTGAGTGGGACCGGGGGGCTGACAGTAGGTGGAGGCGAGGGGGGCTCTCCTGTGTCACTGTGGGTCACTGCATGTCTGTGTGTGTGTGTGTGTGTGCAGGACAGGGCACAGGCTGAGAGCAGCTGGCTTGACAGGTTGCTGCTCCCAGCCTTGGGCAAGTGAATTCACCTCTCTGAACCTCAGTGTCTTCATCTACAAAATAAGGGCAACCTCTTCATAGGGGACGAAGTATGCTACGGCGTGTGTGGTACCAGACAGTGCCAGCTCCACCCGTCAGAACTGACACCCCAGCACTGCCATGCACACGCCTGTGCACACACACATGCATTTTTTCTGTACTTTTTCATTTTCGAGACAGAGTTTCACTCTTGTTGCCCAGGCTGGAGTGCAATGGCGCGATCTCTGCTCACCACGACCTCCGCCTCCCAGGTTCAAGCGATTCTCCTGCCTCAGCCTCCCCAGTAGCTGGGATTACAGGCACGCACCACCATGCCCAGCTAATTTTGTAATTTTAGTAGAGATGGGGTTTCTCCATGTTGGTCAGGCTGGTCTCGAACTCCCGACCTCAGGAGATCCACCCACCTCAGCCTCCCAAAGTGCTGGGATTACAGGCACGAGCCACTGTGTCCGGCCTTCTCTGTACTCTTATCACTGCTACTGAGATTAATTCTCTGACCATTTCCATCTGTGGAAATCTCTCGGGCTGCTTCCAGCTGGCCGTGGACGTGTCCGCCTGTCTGTGTGCCTCACCTGGGGGTCTGTGTGTGCCCAACACCATGCCCATGTGGGCTTGGCCCCTTTTGTGTCCTGGGTCTAGATCCCGTGGCCACACATTCCTGTCCACGTACCCACGTGGACGTATGTGTGTGTACCCACACGTCCACACACCTGCCTATCTGCAGCCGGTGTATTTGTGTTGTGTGTCTTTGTCTCTGGGTCTCCGTGTCTATAGACACACATGAATCCATAAACCACAAACCACATGTCCACACATCTGAGGCCACATGTGTCTTCTAAGCATTGTGACGATGTTGAGGTCTGTGCCCTGTGGCAGCTGCTATATCCCAAGGGTGGCGTCCATGTGTCCAGCCGTCTCGCTGACCGCATTTTCTTGTTTTTGAGACAAGGTTTCTCTCCCATTGCCCAAGCTGTAGTGCAGTGGTGCAGTCTTGGCTCACTACAACCCCAGCTCCCGGGTTCAAGCCATTCTCCTGTCTCAGCCTCCTGAGTAGTAGCTGTGATTACAGGCATCTGCCACCATGCCCGGCTAATTTTTGTATTTTTAGTAGAGATGGGGTTTCACCATGTTGGCCAGGCTGGTCTCGAACTCCTGACCTCAGGTGATCCGCCTGCCTCAGCCTCCCAAATTGCTGGGATTACAGGTGTGAGCTACCACACCTGACCTTGTCCATGTATTTTTAAATATTACTTATTTATTTAATTACATATTTATTTATCTTAGAGACTGGGTCTTACTCGGCTGCCCAGGCTACAGTGGAGTGGCATGATCAGAGCTCACTGCAGCCTCAAACTCCTGGGCTCAAGCAAGGCTCCTACCCCAGCTTCATAAGTAGCTGGGACTACAGGCACCCACCACCATGCCCAGCTAATCTTTAAAATTTTTTGTAGAGATGAGGTCTTGCTATGTTGCCCAGACTGGTCTTAAACTCCTAGCCTCAAGCCATCCTCCCACTTTGGCCTCCCAAAGTGCTGGGATTACAGGTGTAAGCCACCGCACTGGGCAATGTTACTTATTTATTAAACCCTTTTATTTTATTTTATTTTATTTTATTTTTGAGATACAATCTCACTCTGTCACCCAGGCTAGAGTGCAGTGGCACAATCTGGGCCCACGGCAACCTCCCAGGTTCAAGCGATTCTCCTGCCTCAGCCTCCGGAGCAGCTGGATTACAGGCGTGCACCATTGCCACGCCCAGCTAATTTTTGTAGTTTTAGTAGATACAGGGTTTTACTGTGTTGGCCAGGCTGGTCTCGAACTCCTGGCCTCAGGTAATCTGCCTGCCTCAGCCTCCCGAAGTGCTGGGATTAGAGGCGTGAGCCAATGCAGCCAGCCTATTAAACCCTTCTCTAGTGCATACTATGTGCCAAGCACTGTAATAATGCCTTACATATATTAATTCATTCAATGCCAAGCAGACGCTATTCTTAACTCTATTTACATAGAGGGAAACTGAGGCACCAGGTGGTTGTCAGGCTGCTAGGCAGGGGGTGTGTGTGTGCAAGTGAGTGCATGTGGCCCTGTGTACGCGTCTGAGGGTGGTGTCGGTGGCCACGGTCCTCGTGTCTCACAGCCGTGTGTGAGCAATGCAAGGGCGTGGCCCCACCGCAGGTTCTTACCGTAGGCCCCTTCTGCATTTTCAGGACGGACACGGAGGCTCCTGGGAGCAGCTGATACAAGGTGAGTCAGGGTCCTGGTCCCAGGGAAGGAGGCGAGATGATTCCCACGCTGCCCCCACCCCTTGGTCAATTGCCCAATATGATTTGCACAACTGGCCAAATCCTCACAGGTGCCCCTCCCCCAGGCCTGAGAAGCAGAAGTTTGGGTCACTCCGGAAGGGGTGGGGTTGAATCCAGGAGGTGTACACGATGACCCTGTAGAAGGCTGGCTTTTACCTCCACTGTCTTCGTTTCTAACCTCTGACCTCTCTCCCCAGAGCGAAGGTCTCACCAGAATAACCCAGCAGCGCATCTCACAGGTGAGGGGGACCCTGGATCCTGGCAAGGGGCAGGGGTCAGGGCGTCTCCGGAAGACCAGATAAACGCTATACATACCAGTGTATTCATTCATTCATTCCTTATTTACTCACAGAGTTGCTCAGAACATAGGCCACAAGTGCTACGTGTTTCCAGTTTTATTTATTTTATTATTTTCTTTTATTTATTTATTTATTTATTTATTTATTTACTTTTGAGAGAGTCTCGCTGTGTCGCCCAGGCTGGAGTGCAGTGGCATGATCTCGGCTCACTGCAATCTCCACCTCCAGGGTTCAAGCAATTCTTCTGCCTCAGCCTCCCAAGTAGCTGGGATTACAGGCACCCACCACCACACCCGGTTACTTTTTTTTGTATTTTTAGTAGAGACGGAGTTTTGTCATGTTGGCCAGGCTGGTCTCAAACTCTTGATCTCAGGTGATCCTCCCACCTCGGCCTCCCAAAGTGCTGGGAATACAGGCATGAGCCACCGCGCCCGGCCTAGTTGTATTCATTTAATGAACTCTCGTATAGTACTTATGCTGTGTTATGTGCTATGACATGCTTTCTACATATTAATTCATTACATTCTAAGCAGGTGCTAGTAATGTGTCCATTTAACAGAGAGGGAAACTGAAGCACACAGCAGGTACGAGATGCCGCCTTGGTTTCTCGGTTTTGCAAATTTGCATGTTTGGACACTTTTTTTTTTTTTTTTTTTTGAGACAGGGTCTCACTCTGTCACCCAGGCTGGAGTGGCGCTATCATGGCTCACTGCATCCTCAACTTGCCAGGTGCGAGCGATCCTCCCACCTCAGCTTCCCCAGCAGCTGGGACTACAGGTACCTGCCACCATGCCCAGCAAATTTTTTTGTTTTTTGTAGAGATGGCGTCTCCCTATGTTACTTCATCTGGAACTCCTGGCCTCAAACTCCTGAGTTTAAGGGACCTTCCTGCCTCAGCCTCCCAAAGTGCTGGGATTATAGGGGTGAGACGCCACACCCAGCCAAGTTTTGACACTTTTGGCAAGTCACTTAACGTTTCCATGCCTCAGTTTCCCCACCTGCAAAAGAGGGATGCAAAGAGTTGAGATGTAGACTAAACAAATTAATTTGCTTCTCTGTGCCTCAGTTTCCCTCATCTGCAAAGCAGAGATAAAGCGAATTAATACATACAAACAGGCTAGGCAGGGTGGCTCATGCCTGTAATCCCAGCACTTGGGAGCCTGAAGGATCGGTTGAGCCCAGGAATTTGAGACCAGCCTGGGCAACATTGTGAGACCCCGTCTCTACAAATACACACATATGCGTGCACACACGCGCACACACACACACACACACTGCCTAGTGGTGCCTGGCCTGGAGTCACACAGCAAAAGTAAGACATGTGAGGACAGGCGTGGTGGCTCACACCTGTAATCCCAGCACTCTGGGAGGCCGAGGTGGGTGGATCACCTGAGGTCAGGAGTTCAAGACCAGCCTGGGCAACATGGCAAAACCCCATCTCTACTAAAACTACAAAAAGTAACTGGGTGTGGTGGCAGGCACCTGTAGTCCCAGCTACTCAAGAGACTGAAGCAGAAGAGTCGCTTGAACCTGGGAGGCAGAGGTTGCAGTGAGCCGAGATCACGCCACTGCACTCCAGCCTGGGTGACAGAGTGAGACTCTGTGTCAAAAACCAAAACAAAACAAAACAAAAACAGAGTAACACATGTGCTGACCGGCAGCCCCCTTTTGTCTCTCTCTCCCAAACAGGGGCCAACTCCAGCTTGACGGGCAGCGGGGGACCGCTGCTATGGGAGACCCAGCTGGGCCTGGCCTTCCTGAGGGGCCTCGACTACCACGATGGGGCCCTTGTGGCCAACAAGGCTGGCTACTACTACATCTACTCCAAGGTGCAGCTGGGCGGTGTGGGCTGCCCGCTGGGCCTGGCCAGCACCATCACCCACGGCCTCTACAAGCGCACGCCCCGCTACCCCGAGGAGCTGGAGCTGTTGGTCAGCCAGCAGTCACCCTGCGGACGGGCCATCAGCAACTCCCGCGTCTGGTGGGACAGCAGCTTCCTGGGTGGTGTGGTGCACCTGGAGGTTGGGGAGGAGGTGGTCGTCCGTGTGCTGGATGAGCGCCTGGTCCGACTGCGTGATGGCACCCGGTCTTACTTCGGGGCTTTCATGGTGTGAAGGAAGGAGCGTGGTGCATTGGACGTGGGTCTGACACATGGAGAACTCAGAGGGTGCCTCAGGGGAAAGAAAACTCACGAAGCAGAGGCGGGGCGCAGTGGCTCACGCCTGTAATCCCAGCACTTTGAGAGGCCTAGACAGGCAGATCACCTGAGGTCAGGAGTTCGAGACCAGCCTGGCCAACATGGCAAAACCCCATCTCTACTAAAAATACAAAAATTAGCCGGACGTGGTGGTGCCTGCCTGTAATCCCAGCTACGCAGGAGGCTGAGGCAGGGGAATTTTGCTTGAACCTGGGAGGCGGAGGTTGTAGTGAGCCGAGATCGCACCACTGCAGTCCAACCTGGGCAACAGAGCGAGACTTTGCCTCAAGAAAAGAAAGAAAAAAGAAAATTCAGGAAACAGATCTTGGATCACATGCGAGGGAACCCAAAACTCGAAGGCGGAGAGTTCAGTGGGCACCACCAGGGACCAAGAACTCAGCCATCTTGAGGGGTTGAAGACCCAGCAGGCACCTTCAGAAGACCCATGTAGACTGCAAACCCTGCCATGGACAATACTAAGGACAAAGACCCAGAGACTTGGGGTCTGTGGGCTCCCAAACATTGGGTAAAGTTGATTTGCCTGATATTCAGGAAGAAGGGGTGAGGGGTGGGTATTTATGCTTTTCATTCAGAAGAAAGTGGGACTTGGGACTCCAGGAACTTGGCTGGGGGTGGGAAACTTCCTCCACTTCCCTCCTCTCATCATGAGTACAGACAGGGTGGGCGGGAGACTGATCATCAGGACTCATCATGTAGAGCCCAGCCCACCCCACCTACAGTCAGAGTCACATACTCAGATCCCACCCACAGACTGGTGGCCACACCTCAGCCTGGTCACAAAGAGTTACACTCGGATACATGGGCACAGCAGTGTGCTCATAAATGTTTAAAAACCAGCTGTCCTCGGAGGGGGATAGCTTTGTAATGTTTGCCAATTTCCATGGTGCAAATGCTGCCACCATGGCTGATTTCATCACTGCCAAGCATAGACATCCCCAAGAGGGCACCACAGATCTGTCCCTGGCATCCAGCCCAGGACCTGGCACAAAGCAGGCCCTAGGGAAATGCTTGCTGATTGAAAGGAAGGAAGAAAGAATGACTATACAGTCACACCTATGGCATCCCACGAAATCTGTCACATGGCTGCGTAATCTCAGCCATTCTTTCACAACTATAGACTCATACACACGAAGTGCCAGATTCATGCACAACCGCAGAATCACATGGAAGTCATAGACGGCATCACAGACAGTCACAGCACTGTGTGTATGTTAAAACACAGCCACACAAAACTCAGACAGCATCCCAGCCACACAGCCACCCCCAGAGGTGTCACCGTCACACTTGGTAATTAATACTCATTAGATCAGACACAGAGAGACCAAGTTATAGTCAGACCTGGTTACACACACATACACACACACAACACCACAATGGCAAACACACATGACACACATCACAATGACAAACACACATTATACACACATCACAGTGACAAACACATGACACACACACATCACAATGACAAACACACATTATACACACATCACAATGACAAACACACATTACACACACACATCACAATGACAAACACACATTACACACACATCACAGTGACAAACACACATTACACACACACATCACAATGACAAACACACATTACACACACATCACAGTGACAAACACACATTACACACACACAACATCACAATGACAAACACACAGCATTACACACACACACAACATCACAATGACAAACACACAACATTATACACATATGCACACAGCCTGAGGGCCTTCCTCAGCCCAGACTAACACATCTTGGGGTGAGGACCAGACCTTGTTCATAACCCTGGGCCTCTTAACCACTGATCTTTGAAATAAATGGCAAAGAGTTGTACCTGGATCTGTCTAGTTCTTGGGGGAAGAAACTGAAGAAGGGTAGAGAGGAATTGTCAAGCCCAAAGAGCCCCATAGGGAAAGGAAGGAGTCGGAGGGGGGCAATCATTAGCAACAGGTGGTGGCGCCTAGAGGCAGAGGGATGGAGGTAATGACCCGTGGAGGTCATTTTACAGACAAGGAACCTGAACCCAGTTGGCTCAAGTCCATGCAGGAAATGTGGGGGAAACCAGAGACCTCACGTCTGGATCTGGCTTCCTCTCCAATCCACAGTTCCTGAGGAAGTAGAGGCTACATCCCGCAAGACGCCCTTATTAGACACATCCAGGACAGAGTGACAATCCGCCAAGCCAGTTAGAAGCATAAAACACAGGGAGCTGGTGGGTTGGGTGGGGGCAGATAATGATATGCATGCAAATTAGAGGGCCTATGCAAATGAGTATTGCCACAGTGTGGCTGGAGGGACTCCTTAGTTCCTAGGACTCTAGGATACGGGTTTCGACCCCAGAGGCGAATGTATTGTTATTATCATTTTGTTGTTGTCATGAATGACAAGTCAAAATTTGTGGGCTGCTGTTGTTATTGCCAATAGTATTCTTGCCATTGTTGATGAAGGAAACAGACTCTGCAATCAGATGATCCTGGGTTCTGAGTCCACTCTGCCACTCACTAGCTATACGACCTCGAGCAAGTTCCATCACCTCCCAGGGCTCCAGTGTCCCCATCGGCAAAATGGTTGTGGGGGGAGAGGAACAACAGTACAGATTCACCATCGCAAATTCAAAATGCTCCAAAATCTAGGCTGGGCGTGGTGGCTCATGCCTGTAATCCTAGCACTTTGGGAGGTCAAAGTGGATGGATAACCTGAAGTCGGGAGTTCCAGACGTGGCCAACATGATGAAACCCCATCTCCTAAAAATACAAACAATTAGCTGGGTGTGGTGGGGGGGGCACCTGTAATCCCAGCTACTCGGGAGGCTGAGGCAGGAACCCGGGAGGTTGAGGTTGCAGTGAGCCGAGATCACACCACCACATTCCAGCCTGGGTGACAGAGCAAGACTCCCATCTCAAAAAAAAAAAAACATACTCCAAAATCTGAAACTTTTTGAGCCCCAATGTGATGCCACAAGTGGGAAATTCCACAACTCATCACATGAACAGGTTGCAGTGGAAATGCAGGCACACACCACAAAGTTTACTCAGCATCCTCAAGGGAAATCCCCGTCAGTAGCTATATATCATTTTCTCACATGCCAGATAGGTATCTCACATCTTTTACTGTTAAGTACTTATGTGTGAATAAGTGGAGGAAAGCGATTGCTGGTTAGTAGTATATAAATTCAGAGTCAGGAATGATGGTGATGTTGGCCAGGTGCGGTGGCTCACACCTGTAATCCCGATGTGATATCCTACTTTGCTTTTAACCTGATTGACTCTCTCCTAGCAGACAGAGCCAGACAGACTCCATTTTGACTCCTTCACTGACAGCCCCTTACTCACCCCCCTTCCTTAAGGACTTAAGCTGACTCCCAGCACATCCAAGAATGCAATTACTGATAAGATACTGTGGCAAGCTATATCCGCAGTTGCCAGGAATTCCTCCGGTTGATAGCACCCAAAGCCCCCGTGTCTATCACCTTGTGATAGATTTAAAGCCCCTGCACCTGGAACTGTTTGTTTTCCTGTTACCATTTATCTTTTTCACTTTCTTGCCTGTTTTGCTTCTGTAAAATTGCTTCAGCTAGGCTCCCTCCTCCCCTTCTAAACCAAGGTATAAAAAGAAACCTAGCCCCTTCTTCAGGGCCGAGAGAATTTTGAGTGCTAGCCGTCTCTTGGTCGCCGCCGGCTAATAAAGGACTCCTGAATTAGTCTAAGAGTGTGGCATTTCTCTATAACTCGTTCGGTTACAACACCAGCACTTTGGGATTCCAGCCGGGGGGAGGGGGGTGTGGATCACCTGAGGTCAGGAGTTCGAGACCAGCCGGGCCAACATGGTGAAACCCCTTTCCTACTAAAATACAAAATCAGCTGGGCATGGTGGTGGGCGCCTGTAATCCCAGCTACTTGGGAGGCTAAGGCAGGAGAATCGCTTGAATCCAGGAGGTGGAGGTTGCAGTGAGCTGAGATCGCGCCATTGCACTCTAGCCTGGGCAACAGAGTGAGACTCTGTCTCAAAAAAAAAACCCGGCGCGGGGTCACGCCTGAATCCAGCAGGAGCCGAGGCGGGGATACAAGGTCAGGAGATCGAGACCACGGTGTAAAAATACAAAAAAATAGAACTAAAAAAAGGCGGACCGAGGAATTGATGACCGGGATAGCCCAAAGGCCAACCCCACAGGATTGGTCCACATGGGTGGCTGAGACAGTGACCTTTGATTTCAAACGGTTCAGTGTACACCAACTTTGTGTCATGCACAAAATTATTAAAACTATTGTATGAAATTATCTTCGGTCTATGTGTATAAGGTATGTATGAAACATAAACGAATTTCTTTTTTTCTTTTTTTTTGAGGCTGAGTCTCCCTCTGTCTCCCAGGCTGGAGTACAATGGTGTGATCTCGGGTCACTGCAACCTCTGCCTCCTGGGTTCAAATGATTTTCCTGCCTCAGCCTCCCGAGTAGCTGGGATTACAGGCGCCCACCACAACCGGCTAATTTTTTTTTTTTTTTTTTTTTTTTTTGTATTTTTAGTAGAGACAGGGTTTCATCATGTTGGCCAGGCTGGTCTCGAACTCTCAACCTCAGGTGATCCACCCCCTCAGCTTCCCAAAGTGCTGGGATTACAGGCTTGAGCCACTGCGCCCGGCATATTCAAGGCCTAGGCATCTTGTGTGAGTTATACATTTATATACATCCTTTGGCTTCGGGCAGGAGCTGTTACTGTCTGCACATTTTAGATGCAGAACTGTGGTCCGAGAGAGGCAGGGATGCTCTTTACCTCTGCCAAGGGTGAGCAGTGGATTCAGGGCAGTTTCCTGCCTCCCTGCCCTTGCTGGGCTGGTGGGAGGTAGGAGAGCCCCCAGTACCTGGCCCCAACCCCTGCTGGAGTTTCCTTCACTCTCATCATGGTCTTTCTGTTTCTGTGGCTTTGATGAGGAAACCAAGGTGTGGAGAGCATGTATTGATAAAAGTCACCAGCAGCTACCAGCTTCCGCCTGGGGATGGAACCTCTTGCTAAGTTTAGCCTCCAAAAAATCATTCTGGGAGGGGTCTCTCAACCTGAAGGAGCAGGAGAAAGAGGAAGAAGGAGACATGGGTGAGGAAGAGGATGGAAAGAGATGGGGAAGGGCAGATGAAGAAAGAGGAGGTGGAAGGAGGGAGGAGGAGGATGGAGAGGGAAAGAAGGGGGAGAGTCAGAGGAATAGTGGGGGTGGAAAGAGATGGAGGGGAAAGAGAGGAGGGAAAGGAAAGTCAGGGAGGGGAGGAAAA